CTCTTTCCAGGTGACAAACCTTCTGTATTCTTTTCAGCTCAGTCTCAGGCTGCAGCAAACTAGCTGAGGACAGACATGTAAACATTCCCCAATTAACAGCGCTGGAGCTGAAAATCCTTGGATACCTTACCTTCAGCATAGCCCCAATTTCTGCTCAGTGCATCTTCAACAGCTTCACTTCACTTAGCTTTACTCAATCAGACAGAACAGTTCCTGGCAGGTACATAAAATACAGCATTACTGCATCAGCAGAAGTCAGCCAGCATAAGCTAGCACGTTGCACGTTGCAGCAGTTACTTTGCACTACACAGCACATGCGAGGCTGCCTCAGAAAGGCCGGAACTGCCAGTGTGAGAGAGAACTTCAAACTAGGAATAGTCCAGCACAGGACCACTAAGATGATGAGGGAACTGGAGCACAGAGCATAAGTGGAGAGGCTGACAGAACTGGGCTTGTGCAGCCTGGAAGAAAGAAGGTTAAGGGGAGACCTAGCAGTAGTCTTTCACAATTAGGATAGGAGATCATAGAAAAGATGGAGCGACTTCTGACATGTGCACAGTGAAAGGACTGGAGACAATGGTCACAAGTTGCAACAAGGGAAATTAAGTTCACAAGCGTGAAGACAAGGAAAGAAAAACTGTCCACAGTAAGAGTGACTTAACATCTGAACAGGTTGTCTTGAGAAGCGGTACTCCATCCTTGGAGATTTTCAAAACTCAGCTGGACAAAGCCCCAAGTAAAGTAATCCAACCTGATTTAACTTTTAAGGTAACCTTGCTTGGAGAGCTGTAAATTGGATTAGAGACACCTCTGGAGTACTTTCCAGGCTAATTTTTGTCTATGTTTCAGAGAGTCTAGTAGATCCATTCTTTGTTTTCCACAGTTTATTTCTGCTACCTTGAAAGTTGCAAGCTTTTCCCTCTCTATATCATTGGTCTTGCACACAAGTATCTTTTTCTGGATTAAAAATTTGGAAGAATCTGATCAGGATATGTGACAGCTTTATAGCTGAGACTTCCGAACCCATACGTGGGGGCACGCACACACAAACACAAACATCAGTTCTTACAGGACTGATAGGAAGGAATCCTAGCATGGAAGGACAATAATTAGTAGCATTGAGATGGAAAGTAGTATGGCTCTTGTCAACATCACTAGCCAGAAACGTTAGTGGATAAAAGATGCTCCAAAAGATCTTTACACACTGTTCCACTACATGTTAATTTTCACAGTCATCAGTCTGTCTATATTCACCTCATTGTGTGAGGTCTAGTCAGAGAGGCCTTTAATGGAAAGCATTTCATTTTTGTTAGTTCATACCCACTCTCACACATTCTGCACCAGTGAAATACATTCAAGGGATTTCTCAGTGCAGAGCAAGCGATTTCTATGAAGGACTATCTTTCTGAACGACAACAGAAGATCTAGGGTATACAGAACCACTACAGGAGAAGGAGCATGCGGTTTCAGAAGAAAACAAAACAAAAAAAGAGACAAATTACCCAAGATTAATGAAGTTCACAGAACATCTCAAACAAACTTTGAATGACATTTGAGAGTTTGGGATTTTTTTCCTATGTTTTTTTAAGAAAACTTTATAAGGGTAAGCCACAAAAACCCAAGCCTTTCTCATCCTCCTCAGAGATGCCAGCAAAAAAAAAAAAGAAAAAAGAAAAAAAAAAAAAGAGCCTTTGGATGAAGAAAGCTAAATAATCAAATTTTTAAAGGACTTCTCATTACAAAAGACAAAGCTAAACTGAGATACTTTTGTGGGAATGGGCTCACAATAAGCCATAGTCTAACCCATTTAGAAAGCTGCTGTTATCGGGATAAAAAAAAAACAAAGGACTTAGAAAAAGCTTCTCTTTTGGGATGATAAGCCTGAAACAGCCACTAAGTTGGCTGATGAAGAACGTTGGCTTTTTCATTTGCTCTATAAATCCCAGCAAATAATCCTGGATTACTAATATGAAAATCAATATAGAGGAGTATGAGCACCAAATTGCAGAGCCAGACCATTTTGCTTGTTTAAACTGACCTAATCATCTTTTTACTACTAACAACCTCCCTCAGAGAAAGAATGACTCCATCCTAATCTTCTCTGATATTCAAAATAAAAGGTGAAAAGCATGACAACACACAGAGCTCTGGTAAATTAATTTAGGCTTCTGTATGCTACAATTTTTTCATTCCAAGGACCAACTTGAAGACCCTGCAACAACATGCATACCTTTCCCAAGAGAGTTCCAAGAGAAAAGCACACATACTTAAGCGTAAGTTTCCAAAAGTTTGAATATGTAGTTTAAATTACTTGTCCTGTACATTTCTGTTAGCTATTCTTTAAAACGAAAGTCAGCATGGCAAGTGAAATGGTAAGCCACAGAGATTTCTAATCTCTCTCTCTCAAATGACACATCATCATAAGGAAGATATACAGCAGCAGTCCCGAAACACTTAGCAATTACTACAGGAAGAACATAATATCCAGAAGGTGGAACAGAAGAGAGTCACACCCCTCTATAACTACAAAGTTATTCTACAATACCCTTTACTTCAATTCTGATTGGATGACCAGTCCTCATATTAAGAATATTCAATATACACTTCTATTTTGTACCTACAGTGCCATACTTTCTGGAAGCTTGCCTGCCGGGGATTAAAAAAAAAAAAAAAAAAAAAGTAATGTATTCTAAAAGCAAGAGGCAAGCTCCTTGTATACTTACAAGCTTCATCACAACCATTAAAGCTTTTTGATATATATTTACTGCTCATGTATTTTAAAGTTTACTATGAAAAGTCAGAAAAGCTAAATCATAGCAAATATTAAGGCTAAGCGAAAGTAGCGTGCATATCATTTAGCAATAAAACTCTGTTTTACCAACATGAATTATGATACTTGTCAGTCATTAAGTCTTTTCAATTATTTATCTAGCCTTGCCGAAATCATAACAATGCCAGTTTTGCTTTTAAAGACAACAGTTCACAAACCTCCATCCATCCTTTGCGAGGTAGCTGAAGAGTCCATCGACGACGCTTGCGAAAAACTGCCCTCCCGTGATGAACAGCGTATTAATGGTAACTAATCTGCCTCTTAAGTGTGGTGGAGCAACTTCTGCGATGTACACTGGTACTGTCATAGATGCTACACCTACAAAGATAAATTAAATTCTATTAATGAAACTGAAACAGATATTACAGCTTCTTTTGCCAAAAAGCATTATATTCCTCACTATTCTTCAAATGAAGTGATTCCCAGGTTCCAAAAAAAAAAAAAAAAAACCAAAAACACCTAATGAGGTCTAAAAGAATATCCATAGCTGACGGGCATGCACACTGGTTGCTAGCGACTGCGTTACCAGTTCACCGTTTTATTCAATGACACAAAGAACAGCTTACCCTAATTCACAGTGCATGTATATTAAGATTAAATGAAAAACATCCATCAAAGATGATGAAATCATCTTTTTTGAATCAAAGAGATGCCATGATCCAAGTATGCATACATAAGTCAAAATGACTAACTCAAGGTTTTAAATAAAAAGATGCCCGGTGTTCCCACCTCTGAGTTCAAACGCAACTCCAGCATGCTCTCCACCTTGAATTAAAAACAGCTCCACCCGCTACTACTGATGGGTAATTCCATTATTATTACACAAAAGAGACTATTTCTCGACTTTTCTGGGATATAACAGTCTTGCATACGCTCCAAAAAAGGCCACCCTCACGAACGAGCAGAAACTAAAGTTAAAGCACGGGCGCCTTTTTTTCTGTCATAAGACCGGTAGTATTTCTCAGGAATTAAGTGACAGCTCCAAAAGAGTCATTTGTGCCAAAAAACAAAAAGCGTGCGCGTGGAAGAGACACGCGCGTGCGCCCACACGTACACGCACGCAAAACTTAACAGGACTCCAACGGCACGCAGGGGGCAGACCTGAACGCTGCACATACTTCCGTCGTCCAGATACGTCAACCAATTCATGCTTGTGGTAAAGGAAATTTGTATCCATGTTTCAGTAAGAGAGCCAACAACCACCGTTTTGTGGTTAAAACCGAAAATGCTTTGGCAGCACAGAAGCAAAAACCTATTTCTACTGAAATCAGCTGAGGATACTCCAAGCGAGGCCGCAGCACCGGCGGCGCAACTGCGTCCTCCCAGGCCCGATGCCCCCGGGCGGCTCTGCCACGTCCACGCCAGCGCCCTGACGCCACACAACGCGCTCCCAGCGACCGCCGGCGCGATTCAGAAAGCGCCCCGCTGTCCGGCTGACTCACCGCACCGAGCGCCCACGTTATTTTTAGCAGTAAGGTTAACCTGACACAACTGCTGGAAGCCTCCAAGACCTTGAGCGAGGAACAGAGACTGTTTCATAACAAAATGGCATCAGGGGATCTTTTGTTACGGTAGGTAAGCGCTTGCACCAGCCTCTCAGCGTGACAGCCGGCTTCGCAGCGGAACCTTCCAGAACGTGCCAGCAGCTCCCCGACCTGCTCCCGAGCAGGCATGGAACGGCACATAAAAGTGTCAGGAAAACATTAAAAATTTATTCAAACCTTTTTCAAAGCTAACAGTGCAGAATGCACTGCAGGAAACAAACAAACAAAAAAAAGCATTCAAATAGCCCTTTGTGCGGTCGACAGACGAGCACATTTTCAAACGCAGGCCACTATGAGAAATATTTTTTTTGTGTCTTTCACATCTGCGTTTTAATTAATTACAATTAAACGGACAGAGATGATGTACGTAGAAGGGGAAAGCTTTTACAGGAAGGCCTGGCAGAACATCCCCCTTCTCAAGACAAATAAAAACAAGACGGTGACTTGAGCGAGGGCAGCAGGACGGCAGCAGGACGGCTCCCACTGGCTGGGAAAGGAAGGGCCCTCCCCAGTCTTCGGAGACCACATCTCCTCTCCCCCGGCATCCTCTGCAGCCTCACGCAGGACACTTTGCCTGCTCACGCTCCTGTTCCCCGTTTGCAAAGGGGCAAGAGAAAACATCTTCCTGCTTCCAGGCATATTTTGATACTAAGACTAGCTCTATTGGGCCAAAAGCCGAATAACTCTGCCTAGGATGGTGACCGGTAGCAGAGGTTGAGGAAAAGCTAAGAAGCAGGACAAGCATCAAGTAATTCCCTTTATATACCCAGTACCACTTCCAGTAATTACCCAGTTAGGGAATTCATGACCAAGTCTGCATACGGACAAGGCATTTAACAGTTCTGGGTGCATTTTTGAGACCATTCACACTTTGCTCTCCATTGCTCTATTTAGTCACTCGTCGTACGGGAGCAGTTCTTTCCTCCCTACCACTCCTAGTACGATTACAGCCTCTTCCACATGGGCTGTTTTCATCACATTCCTCTTTATAATAGATCAATCAACTAAAAATCCATGGTACTTCAAGGGTGCAAAATTTCAGCCTATTTTATCAGCTGCTCTATAAGTATCTTCCCTGCTGGTCACAAGAGTAACATGAAAATGAGAGAAGGTGATTGCATTTCAGAGCACTAGAGAAGTGAAGTGGGAGACCAAGTCCTCCAACAAGAAGCTTGGAGGTATAAAAACAGAATGGGGCTTTGCAGTATATACAGGAGGAAAATACTATTGCTTTTCCCTCTTTTGTGAGATACTAAAAGAGGCTTGACATATTTCTTATAGGATGCTACTCAAAGTCAGTCCCTAGTATTCATCCTCCCCCATGCCCTGCAAATAAGGATACCATTAAAAGCTTTACAGAAATAACACTCCCAGGAAGGCTATCTTTGAAACAGAATCATTCAGTGAAGTGAATCTCAGAGGTAAAGATGGCAATGCCTATACATGGATTTCCTAGAAAGACGTGCACAATCAAATAAAACATACTCTGCAAAAAAGCTACTTTTTTTTAATCACACATCTTTCATTTATGGTAAAACTGGGAGATTACAACAAAATTCTCCATACTATTGGAATTTGCCATTTAGAGTTCAAGTCATAACTTACTGCATAATGATATCTCACTCATAGGAGTGCATCATAGAAGCCAATTACACAACAGAATATTGCGCTTCAAGCTGGGATGCTTCCACAAGCTCAGACTAATTTCATTTTCTCCTTTTCCACACTGAAAATGTCAGTCATGTTCTTAACATTACTGAATTATGAAAAAAGTTATTTTGACTGCATGCCAAGTTGCAATGGTTCAGCTTACAGAAACAGAACACCTTGGAAAATTCCTCCATCTACAAATCTCTTTCAGCGCTACAGTTCACAGGCCTCTGACATTCAAAAGAAAGTCAGAATATTTAACATGAAACAGGTTACAACTAGTCAAGAATCATTTATTATAACTAGAAGGCAGCATAGTTCATAGCCGGAGAGGGAAAGGGCTTTGACCTCAGACACTCTAGCAGTCAACTGCACGTCCTCAGGCAAGCTATTTACCCACTCAACCTGGGTGTTTTTTCCCACCTGGTAGGGTGCAGTTCAACTTTCATATCCTGTGGTTATTTTCCTGCCTCAGTTTCCCTCTCAGTTTAGCCCATGCAAGTATTTAGGAAGGTTGATTTTACATATGATCTGCAAAGATATCTTGTTTTAAAACAAGCTAGGCAAATCTGCTACTGATGCATTCAAAAAGCAGAGGCGCACCACTGAACAGACCAACAGCTATTGTGACATTCAAAGCACGCAATCGATCCTAGGAAACTGCTAGAATTGCAGTTAACTGTGGTTAATGTGACACTTGCCTTTTACAGGTAAAACTAAAGCCCGTTTCTGTAACATAAGGGTGACATGAAGGTTAAAACACATTTGAAAAGTGCCATTATGTTCCTGAACAAGTGACATCATAACAGCAGGAGCTTTACTGTTACTACAGAAAGTTAATGTCTACCAGAATTGCCAGGGGAAGCTCACACACCTTCAGCCGTCCAGTCACAAGCTAACCAACGACACCAGTTAATCAGCTGACAGTAACGCAATGGTTCAAGTTAGTTATTAGCAAGCTTGCAATGAAGAAAACATGATTTCTTGGGAAAATTTAAGACGTTAAAAAAAGAATATTAGTTCAGTAAAACTTATTTGGTAGGATTAGGTTTCTCTCTCTTGTAGCCTGCACAATCCATGAGACACACCTCACAGAGCTTTCCAAACTGTGCTAATTATTCCAGTGCTCTTCATCTTAAACTGAATGTAGGTGTGCTCAAAAACCTGACACTTCACCAACCTCCTAAACTATCTTTCAGCATCATCACTACGCTTGTGTACCAAAGAATAACACTGACAATTTTTTCCTCCTTTATAACAAGGTGCATTTGCCTCACACTGCAGGAGAATTCGAGTGCCCTAGCCAGCTTCACAGTCCCAGAGTGATGGATACCCCCGGTCACTTGTGCATCCCAAACCTCCACAATAGCTTTGAAAATGTTCATAATGTTGCTGTCAAAGTTCTCCTTTCTTGCCTTGTACTGAGGCCTTACTCCCTCTACTACATTTCCCAAAACGTATAGAAAGTTCAAGACATCCTAACAAAAACTCCAGCTTACCAGGAAAACAAAATGTGATGTATTTCCGCTCATCACAAGCATCAAAACATATTGCTACTTCCAAGTCTGAAACAGAATGCAGCAGGTTTCTGGAAAAGGCAGACTTTTGAATGACTGCTATCCAGCAAGCATTCATACACAAAAGCAAAATTCTTTCTAGAAAATCACCAGGAGTAAAATAAGCTATTCTGAGGTAGGCCACGCTTCAATAAAAATGATAATATTTTAGATTTTCTAATGTTATTCACATTATAGGTTTGCCTTCAATTGCCTTAGCATGCATCAATAGTCTTCACATCTTCCTCCTCTAATTTCAGTTTAAAACACTACAGCCTAGGAGAGCAAATTCTTGTGAGAAAGCATTATCAGAAGCAAGGCATTAAATGTTAATCAACTATAAAAATCTCTAGAATACATAACAGTCAGTATTCATTATGTAGTTGTTTTAATAGATAGTAAAGAAATTTAAAAACAAAGAACAGCTTTCCTGGCAAAATAAATATGGTTGCAAAGTAATCTTTTCTTAATCTTTCACATGAGAATGCTTTCATTTACACTTAGATGACATTTTCTAATATGCTCTCATGGTTAAACTGTTCACACCAAATAAAACATTCTGGCTGTA